GGTTCGGTCACAACACATAAAAGTACACATTACAGCTGGGATTAGATGCTGGCTTGGCTGGGCTAGACTGTAACCCTCACCAGTGTCAGCTGGAATTGGGGGTGGGTCCATCCAGCGCCAGGCTCCTGCACCCACAGGCAAATGCCAAGGCGAGGGGGGCCATGCCAGACAGGGTCACAGCACCCAACCAGCACATATAAAAACCAGGGAGGGAAGGGGTAAAGCTGGTAGGGGTAATGTGGAGAGCCCCACTGCTGGACCACCACTCCCACTGGAGAGCATGAGTTGGGATGGGGGCAGACCAGACCGGGCAGAGCTACAACACCAGTGGACCTCATGTGAGCCAGATCAAAGAAGAGCCAGGCTTGGTTGACTGTCCCTACTGGTGCAAACATAAATCAGAATGGGTGAGGATTGGGCTTTGTGGCAGCATCAGCTGGCACATGCTGGCACATGGGGCTAAACTGCAGAGGCACCTGCAAAGTGCATGATTTGGGAGTGGGCCCAGAAGGGAAATAGTGGGCACTTCCTTCTTGGGTTACTACTCCAACTGGAGAGCATGAAAACCAGGACTGGGGCAAACCTGACTGGACAGAAAGGCACCCAGCAGCATGTGCATGGGCTGGATAGTGGGCCTAACTGGGTTGAACTAGGTTTCAATGCCCATTGACATGTAGGAGAGCTGAATGGGATGTGGGACAAACTGGACATGTCTACAGTACATGCGGACAAGCATGGGAACCAGGGCAGGAGGCAGGCCTGGTGGGGGTTATTGCGGGTTGCTCAGACTAGGCTGCAACTCCCACTGGTTTGTGTGAAGGCTGAGTGTGTGCTGGGCAGAATCAGGCTGAACTGCAACACTCACTGGTTCATGTGGAAGACAGGGCTGGAAACAGAACTGACCCAGCAATGGCAACCACCAGCTGATCAGGGTGACAGATTGTGCCGGGCTCTGTATTGGCAAGCACACACAAGAATCTGGTCTAGCATCACCTCAGACAAAGTTCCTTTGGAGATCTTTCTAATCGAACTACTAGACTCAAAACCCCAACCATGAAGAGAAGTGCAGGTTCCATGGTCTGACCATGGAATGCATGTGTCAAAGCTGAACCTCCTCAGAGGCTCAGATGAAGCAGTGGACAGCATATTCAGGTGCACATAGAGGATATGTGCACCTGCAGTCTATAGGAACCTGCAGAGGACACCTGGTAACGCAACAGAGGATGGAGGACAGAACAGATCAATCAACTACCCCAGTCATGTGTTGGCAGTGAAAATCTGGGCTGATGGAGACTCTAAGGTGGACTATGTCAGCCAGTAGATTCTGGAGAGATTTCATCGTGCTTGGAATGGTGAGATTGGCAACAATTCAGAACTGTTGAATATCAAAACCACTAGAGCAGGACCCTTGGAGCATGCCCCATACTGGGGACCTGTGATTGGTGGGAGACTGGGTGGGACTTCTACTTTTATCTCTCTCTTTACCCCAGATTTAAAAAAAAAAAAAGCAAAAATGTGGAAATAATAGTCTTACCCACTTTCCTGTAGCCCTTGACCCTTTGTGCCCTACTCAACTATGTCAATATTGTCAAAATAAAGCAATTTATATCTATATGTATCTATATTGTCTATTTTGACAATACATATAGGTAGATATAGATATATATAAATTGCTCTCAGATATATATATCTGAGAGAAGACCATGTTCATCAGAAACTTCCTGACGGTTCCTTCCAAATTAGATCCTCAGATGCCTGCACTTTTCTATAGGAGAAAAGAGGAAGAGATGGTTCCTCATGACCACACATTGTCACTCCAGTGATTCTTATACCAGGCATGAGTGAGACGGAACCCCTATAAGTACTTGAGCCCCTTGCTTTGCTTAAAGTGCTAAATTCAAGATCACCTGATCACATAATCACTCACTATCAGTTCTCTTGTTTCTAAACTTAAATCCAATGGTGTACACTGTCCAAAATGAATCTGGAGAATGAAAACTAGTAGGGAACTATCATCCCAGGCAATGAACAAAATGTGTTGAAGAGAGAGAAAAGTTTAGAGAAATACAGCAGTACAGCCTCCTTAGGAGATGGTGGGAATCTGTGAGCCGAGGCAACAGAACCCAGAAATGCTGAGAAACAGTGCCTCAGAGGATACTAACCAGGAATACATAGTTAGATGGTAGCTGAAAGTCCAACTAAGAGAATAACTGGGGTGATGGCTAGTTTAGCCTCCAACGGGAAACCTGGATGATTCACAGGTACAAGGTACAGTATCTGCCTTTTACTTTGAATAATCAGACAAGGAGATGAGTTGAGAGAAGTTCCATGTAGGGATTATAATATATGTATGTCATTGGTTATAACCATATTGTGTTGGGAAACAATAAGAGTAAGCATTTATAGCCTAATGAGCTATTCTCCAGGAAGTATTCAGAAATGTCCCTGGCTGCAGTGCATAATCTCACCATCCAGTGTGGACTACATCAGATTTGTGTTGATGGGAAGGTTTTGAAGCCTGAGAGTGGTTCACACAGATCTTTCTCTATGCCAGGTAACTGTTGCAGGCACGGAAAATCAACAATAGAAAGAAAAATAGAAATTTACAATGCCATGAAGTCAAATGACATGTTACTAGATATGACAGTCTCCATTACACAACTATTATACCTTCCCTTAAATGAAGAGCCACAAAACAAAATAGGAAGCAGCTTCATCAGAACACCCAGAAGAGGTCCAGGAAAGCTCTGATTCACACTTCACTGCCCATCTCCCATCTCCCTGCTGTTTTGGTATTTGCTGCAAGACAGCATCTCTGAGGCCATCTGAAGAAAGCTCTCCCTACCCCGTCGGATGGGTCCTCCTTATAGAACCCCACTCCTCCACATACTGGGCTCCTTGGGGAGAGGCCACTGATGACTCCTCCTACCACCCTGCTCCAAGTAACAGTGTGACTTTCCAGGCAAGAACCTGGAGAGGCAATAGTGGCTAAATACCCAGACTCACAAGGTCAAGTACAACACTATGTGTCATTGGATCAGTTCCAGTCTACCCAGATGTTTGTTTCACCATATCAGGTTTCTGAGGGATCACAATGATGCTCCACAGATACTCCACAGATTTCCACCTGGAACAACCTGGGAGCACGACAACATTTTTTTCAGATGGAGAGACTGTGGTCTACCCTCCATTCTGAATGTGCCAGGTTGTTGCCATAAATCATGTCCAGCCTCCTAGGCAGGACAAGCTCTTCCAAGTCCTGCTGGACACTCTCCTCTGTTCTGAATGGTCAGCTGCTTCTTCACAGCATCCTGGCTCGATCCTTGGGTCACACAGAACATTCTACCCTTTTCACAGGTCAGACCTTCAGACACCAGAAGCCTACCCTAGCATGTCTGTCCAGGCTCTCCAGGCTTCCAGAGTCCTTTCCTGGCCCCTCCTAGTCTACTCCATGTCCCCTAGACCCTCTTCTGTCACTTACCAGGCTCTGCTCTGCAGAGCACTTGTACCACCCTAGTCCAGCTTTCCTGCTGGGCTGAAGCTCTTTTCATACATTCCAGAAATTTGTTATGGTCCTGATGGCCAAACCCACAAAACCCCAATCCCAAGCTCTCACCAAACAGCCCAAGCATATGTTCAAGTCTTCCTGGCTCAGTCTGTGATAGTTCTTGCTGGACACCATCCTCGGGTCCCTGGGATGAATCATGAGTTTCTTTTACAGTTGTAGTTGGCTGCCCCACAGGTCACTGGTTGGTGGGACAGGTACTTGCCTGATGTGTGTCCTTGCCCTAAATTTGGAGATTTGAAGACATAGGCTGCATTGACTGGCCCCTTACTAAGCTCCAATGACTTGCCTCATTTCATGGAAAAAATTCCAAACCAGAAAGGTCCTGGGCTTCTACCTCAGGACTTCCAGTGAAGGGTCATCTATTAGGCTGAACTTGAACCTCCTGATTTTTGCCCTAGAGTTAACTAAAGGGTCCTGCTTTCAGTGCTACAAGTCAGCTCTGGCTAGCCAACAACCTCACCCAATCAACTCACCATGCTCCATGAAACAATCCTGTTTCCTGGGTGGCTTACAGGTTTCCTGCGCATCACCAATGCTCTGTGTTGATCCCATCACAGTATCTTGCTCCTCCTGTCTTGAGATTGGGCCCTACCTGCATGAGCCTGCCTTGGGGCCAGACTAGGAGGTCCACAAGAGAAGCTCCCAAGTCTTGTATAGCTGCATCTCTAATTGTAGCACAAGGAAATTATTCCTGCAAGACCCACTGGATTAAAACTGGTCTCTTGCCCTTACTTCTCACATCTCCAATGGGAGAGGTGAGAACTGAGCCACTCTTACACTGGGTGGGAGTCAGAAGAGACCACCACAGCCTCTGCTTCATGCTGTCCCTCACAGTGGGACTGCCAGAGGCATTCAAAGCATCCAGTCAGTGAGACACTCTGCCCCCATTTGATCTATTCCTACATCTATAGGCTCTGCTTCTTCCAAGCTAGAGGATATGGTCCAAACTCAACATCATCACCTGGCCATCTCACAGGCAGAAATTGTGGAGGAGGCTGGCTGAAGCAGGGCAAACCATTCCCACACTCCACATTACTAAAGGAAGCAGGTTGACCATGGCCCTGAGTAGTGTAAGTCACCAAGTGCATTACAGCTATCTGCATGGCATCCCAGGACAAGGAGTGAAAGCAATGCCCAGGCTGTTCAGGGCAAAGCATAACACGAGGGTGTAGGGAGGCCCACAGTGATGCAGAGAATGCCAGAAGTCACTGCAAGCAGCTGGAGATTAACTACTGGGCTTTTGTAGATAATCTACAAGTTCATGCAGCCCCTTCCAACCCCAGATGAAACAAGGAATTCTACTGTTGTGCTGGGCTGGAAAGACGAAAGCTACCATGGTGACAAGGACAGGCTCCTGACAGAGGGAGTGAATAGTAGACTCCAGTTCTCCCTTCCTTGTCTCAAAACACCAGGGCAGAAAGGCCGCTCTTACCTGCCAAGATGAAGATGCCGACAAGAATCAAGAAGACCAGCAGGTAGAGTCCCAGGACAGCATGCTTCAGAGCTGACAGCGAACCCAGCTGGGTACAACAGCCACCTGCCCGTCGCTTATGGCATGGACCTGCACAAGAAAACGAGTCAAGAAAAAAACAATTGAAATGTTTACTTTTTCTCTTTTGGCCCCATCTCTTCATGACACATACAGATGTTCTAGAGGGACCTCTTGTACCCTCTGGCACATTTGTAATACAACTATCTTGGTGATGAGCTTTCCAGCACTGCTACAAGTGGCTCAACTTGACTCTACTCCCATAGTCTGCATCCATGAGAGAGCCTAACAGGTAAGACCACAGTTTACAAGCTCACCCAGGCCAGGCTCTGAGTCAGTGCAGCAGCAAAACACTGAGATAGGCTGGAATATGTGGTCCTTTGTGAGGCAGGGAGAATCAAGATAGAATCAAGATAGCGGAATAGGTTTAAGGACACATTTAAATGGACAAACATTAGCCAATGTGAAGCAGAGAGGGCACATTCCAGGAAACAGAAGAAAACGGAATAAAAGCAGAGGGGTACCCAGAGAATGACAGACACTGGAAAGCATCGGACACAACAGTGTGGTGTTGCAGTGACTGATACCCCAATAGCATTCAGCAAGTGGAGATCTGAACTCCACTGGCAGCCAAAACTCCACCAGCAACAGGTGGGAAGGAACGTTTACCGGGAGCTCAGGCGGTGAAGCCAGACAGAGAACTGCCCATCCTGCTGGTCTGTTTGATTTTACCAGGAGCATAGACATACCAGCAGATCCCAGACAAGCAGTGCAGGAACAGGGTGGATTTCACAGCCCAGTCCACTCGCTAAAGCCAAATTTGGTGCCATTTTGTTTAAGGAGGCAAAGGCTATGGACAGTACTGTGCATGCACTGAGCTGAGAGTGAGCTAAGTTCTGGCTCAGTGAGCTGCAACAACAATGTGACATCCTACAGCTTCCACCCAAGATAGGTCCAAGTAGCCCTCAGACCTGATGGCCAGAAGATCAAGAACTCTAGTAGTGGCTCATCGGACACCATTTTGTACGGTGTGGCAAAGAATTTAAGACTGCAGGGACAGTGGTAAGCTGTGCATGCACTGGTCCCACAGCGAAAATAATACCGACTATGGTATCATACGGGTCAAAATAGGCCAACAGGTTCCTATAAGATTACTACCAACAGCAACCTAGCTATATACGACACCTGGTGTCTCCTTAATCATGGACCTGGCCTCAGCACAGTATCAAAGGTGGTGGAGAGTGGTGAGCCAGGAGTTGGGGCTACGGAGACCATGGTGGAAATTTAACATAAGAACCCAGACCTAGAACTCACTAGAGGGAGTGGCACAAGTGACTGCAAACAAAGAGCCATGTATCAACTGCAATAAATAAAATTGAACTGTAGACTTGTGGGTGACAGAGCTTTGTGATGCAGGATTTTCCCCTTGTGATCCAGGGAATGTTGCAGGAATTCAGAGTTGCAAACTCAGACTTTTCTTGTGGCCAGGAAGGGATGTAAATGGGCAAAATGGGCTAGGTGGGACCGAGGAGAATCCAATAGCACACACCAGAAAACATGGCAGCCCCAACCCTCCTACCTACAAAGGATTCACCATCCTCCACCCAAAATGGAGCCACAATATCAACACTGTAGTGAATTCTAACGATCAACCCCTTTTGGTTTAAAGGTCAAAAACATCAAGTGTCAGATCGTGGCAAACCCTGCACCAGGTCCCAGGTGCCTTGACTCCTGGTTGATCCTTCAACTCTATTTGTCCTTCAAGACAACCTTCTCAGACAGTTATGCAGGGACCTGGAAATTTACTAAGGTCTATCCACTATGTCAAGTAAAAGCAAAGAAGGGATAGTCTCCCACCCTGATCCCATATAAGGCATATAAGGACACATTACACTAATTCCCAGCCCCTGTGGGTAATAAAGCTATTCTACCAGAGGAACTTGCTGACTTGCTAAGTCTGGCAATATAAGTTGAAATCACTGAAAATGTCCTGAAAGGTGGTGTAATGTCTGCAATTCCTTGGCAGGTTTCAGGTGCTGTCTTTCCTCTCAGGAAACATTAGCACCTCCTTGATATTCAAGAAGTTTTGTCATCACAAGTGAAACTGCAGTGACTCCTGATGCCTTAAGTTCCAAACAGCCTTGGTCCCTGAAGGTAAGGGCCAATGCCTTTTGTAATTCTGTGTTTATGTGTTTGTTTATTTCAGAGTGGTAGGAGTGGAGGGCCAAAGCAGGTCTCTCACATGGGTAGCAGGAACTCTACCTGCTACAGGTACTTGAACGGCCACCTGCTGCCTCTCAGGGTGTGTGTCTTAAGAGGAAGCTGGAATCAGAATCAAAGCTGGGGCTCAAACTCAGGGACTCTGGTAAGGGACATGGGGGTCCCAACAGCGTCTTCATTGCTGGGCCAAATACTCTCCTGGAGAAATGAATTCTCACCCATTTGGTCCTTAGACTTGGAAATGTTTCACATTTTTTTAAGCTTGGTGGGGAAGAGTTAAAAACACCACATGGTACGATTTGCAAAGCCAGTGTGCTTCCTATTTTATTAGAAAGAAAATGAAAAAAAAAAAAACCCAACATATAAAAGAAATTAAGTATAAGCCATGAAAATAGAGAGGAAATTTAAAAACATACTATGATATGAAACAGATTAATTTGAAAAGAATATATTTTGCATGATTTCAACCACACAAGATTTGGGGAAAGGTAAAACTATGGAGACAGTTTGTTAAAAAAATAAAATGAAATAGCCAGTTGCTGTCGGAGGTGAAGGGAAAGGAAGGAAGCATAAGTAACCCGTGGTGACATACCCAGTGTGATTCTATAACAGTGGACCACATACTCTGACTTTATTTCCTTAGAGGCCGTGTGTCTCTTTAGCCTCTACTAACCACAGGCCAAGGTGCTGGCCAAAGTGTCTCCCCAGTGTCGCCCTACAAGTTGGCTTGCACTGAGCTTACCTTTCACATGCAAAGGTTGATGCAAGACATCCCCCACTCACCACCTCATCCCTCTCATACAGCCAACCCCCAGCTCCCCAACCTGAGTAATACCAAGGCCAAGTACCAGGCGCTACAGACCACACCCACAGACCAGAGCCTGCCAGAATCACTGATACCAATCCCAAAGTGTTGACCCCGCCCTGCCCTTACCTTTCCCAAGGACACCTGTAAAGACATTTGCACTGCCCTCGACTCCCTCCAGCATCTGCCTGACCAAGTCCTGTGGCCCTGCATGGCAAGGCATGTCCTCTTCTCTCATGAAATGCTGAAAGGAGGTTCTCATTTCAGTAGCATTTCCCACTCCATGTTATTACCAAGTCGCATCTCTACATATTAAAAGTTCTGATGCATTTTCAAGACATTCTCATTATGCATATGTTGAGATCTATAGAGAATGCCCAACATCAGGAGAGAATCCTAATGCAAGCCAGAGATTACAGGACAATGGCATGTCAGTATAACTTCACCCATGCCAGAAAAGGTTCCACTCTAAGTGGGGTATGTTGACAGTGTGGGAAACTAAGCAAGTAGGAGAACTCCATTCTATCCGGTTAATTTTGAACTTGCAACTGTGCTAAAAATGAAGTCTATTAGAAATAAAAGTTGATAAAAATGAGTAAACACAGAGGTTTTGGCTTAAGAATTATAGGGGCAACCCCTTTCCCAGATGTTCATTGAATACCCACTCTCTATTGCCTGTCTGGGGTAGTCAGTCTTCAGGACCACCTCCTCCAATGATCCTTTGCCCCCTTGTATAATCTCCTTCAGAACTGTGCCAGGATGGCTTTGTGTGACAAATGAAAAAAAGAAGTGACTATGTGTCACTTCTGAGATGAGACAGAAGACACTGCAGCTTCTTGTGGAGCATTCATGTGGGAATCAGCCAGCTGCCACATCATGAACATCCCAAGGGGAGGTGTGGTGAGAAACAGAGGCCCTAGGCCTGCAACCACATGTGTAGCCCTGAAGCCACATCCTCCAGCGTGGTCAAATCTTCCCATCACTGCGGTCTGGCTGCCAGCTTGACTGCACTCTCAGGAGGGAGCCTGAATCAGAATCACTCCCTAAACCTCTCCCGGTTTCCTCTTAAAAACCCATTTCTCAGCACAACAATTATCTAAACAAGTAAAAAAATATTGACATCCATAACTTCCTTAGAAACGATGGGTGGAACACACTTTTGTTTGTTTTATATGCTGTTTTGGGATAATTTGTTAGCGGCAATAGATAGCAAATAACAGACAAAGAGAAATGCAAAGATAACAAGCTACACAAAGGTGAGGCATTATCTGCATCAACTTGCCACTTTCCTGGCACTTTCAGGTGCTCAGTGATGAAATGTCAAGCAAGAGAGGAAGACAGAGCCCCTATTCTTCAGATGGTTCCCCGGGAAAGGGAGAAGACATGTGACCAGGAAGCCAGGATACAAGGAAGAATGAAGCAGGTGTGTGACAAGATGCACACAGGCAGCTGTTGCATAGAGGTGGTCACTGCCTCTGCCTTGGGGCGGTTGTTGTAGGGGCTATGTCGAGCAGCCAGCCATTGCACTTAGCTTGAAGGACCAGCTTTTCAAGATGGGCTGAAATTCGTTCTCTCTTTTCAGCCTCAGTGTCTATTGGAACAGCTACTGCAAGTGTGAATGCTGTGTCTGAGAACACCTCCTTCCTCTGGATGAGAACAGCTTCGGAGATGTCAGACAAAGCTGTTTGTTATTACATGAAGTTCATGTTTGCAGTCAAAGGCACGCATGAGACCAGATCGATAGGGGGAAATGTTAACAACAACGATGACAACAACAACCATAGCAGGAACTCTTCCAAGATGCAGAAGAGTCACAGGGAGGAGAGCTCCATCTCATAGTGTCCTCCAGTAATGAGGGTGGCATCACCAGGAGACACCAAGGCCAAGGGAAGGGGACCCAAGAGGCCCAGAGAGCATAGGGGCCAGTGGCTCCAAACAAACCAACAGAAATGAAAAGACAAACACAAGGTGACATGGAGTCAGTACAGAGTGGGATTGTGGCAGGCATTTGGTGGTAGAGCTGCAAGTTGGGATGTGCTTATCTCTT